GTTGTTAACCAATGTCATAAAACAATATGTGTACTACTGTTACATGAGAAACTATTTGTTCTGTAAGCCTTCACCTGAAATACAATTAAAAAAAAAGGAAAAAATAAATGAGAAAAATCATTAAATCTCAGAACTGTGATCTCATACACTCCTGCCCTACCCCAAGTAAGGTTTTGTGGCCCTCAAAGGCAGATCAAGAAAAACTGTGGGGAAAGAAAGGAGGGCCACTAAAAAAGGTATCTGTGGGAGAACTGGAGCTATCAGCAGAAAGATTAAATCTACCCTAAATCTGAAAACACTAAAAACTAACTGGGCAGATCACAGCACAAACTACAGGAAAGGGATTTCAATATGTGATTTAAAGGGCCAGACACCACATAAAGCATCAGACACACAGTTTAATGGGGTAGACTTAGGTTAAACGGGTAGGCATGATTTAAAGGGACAGTCTTTCAATTGCACAGTTTCTGGGGGCGAGGGGAGAACAAAAAGGAAGGATCATAAATTAAATTAAGTCACAAAGAAAATATCAGTAACATCCATAAAGTAGAAACATTACAAACAAAACTCTCTGATCACAATGCCATAAAACTAGAGTTTACTAGCAAAAACAAAAAAAAAGAAAGTCCCTGGAAATTTATAAAATCTATTAAGCAACTTCAAGGTAAAAGGGGTAATATAAGCTGAAATTACAATGAAACATTGTATGTTAGAATCCATGAGATATATTTAAAGTAGTGATTAGATGAAAATTCATTGCACTAAGCACACTTATCAGTAAAAAGAATAAAAATAAATGAATTCCTTACTCAAGAAAAGTATATAAAAAAAGTAAACCAAAAGAAAGCACAAGTACAGCAATAATAAATATAAAAGAAGAAATGAATTAGGAAGAGACAAAAATAGATCTAATTAATAATCAAAATCTTGGGGTTTTATCTAAAAATGTAAAAAGCAGACAAAACAGTGGTTAACTTGATCAAGAAAAAGGGAGAAGGCACATATATACAAAAAATGACATGAAAGGGGGAAAGTAGCCATTGAAACATATGAAATTTTTAAAAATTATAATATACTACTTTGCAGGCCTGTATGCAAATAACTTTGGAAACCTACATGAAATGTATAATTTCCTGGGGAAATACAGATGATCAAAACTGACCCACTAGAGTTAGAAAACTTAAACAAACTAATTTCCATAGAATATAAAGTTAGTAAAGGATTGTCCCACAAAAAGCACTAGGCTCAGACAGTGTCACAGAGGAAATTTACCAAACCTTTAAAGACCACATAGTCCCAGTGTTCTATAAATTATTCTAGAGTATTGAAAAGGAAGAAAAAGTTCCTAATTCCTTTATGAAGTAAATATAACATTGATACTTAAACCAGATAAAGAAGTACAAAGAAAAACTACAGACCAGTATCTCTCATGAATATTGATGCAAAAATTCTAAATAAATTATTAGCAAATAGAATCCAATACTATATTAAGAAAAAACTATACCATAATCAAGAGGGATTTATTCCAGGGATGCAAGGTTAGTTCAATATAAGGAAATTCATTTATATCACATACCATATTAATAAATCCAAAGAAAAACATAATTATCTCTATAGAGCTGAGAAGGGCTTTGACAAAATTCACTACCTATTAATGATAAAAATATTGAAGAAAACAAAAATTGAGAAATACTTTCTTAGTATTTTAAATATATATATATATGCCTTACTCCAAAAGTCAGTACCTTATTTAATGGGGAAACACTAGAAGCATTTCCACTAAGACCAGGAACAAGGCAAGGATGCCCACTATCTCCACTACTATTCAACACCGTACTCAAGGTATTAGCCAATGCAATTAGCCAAAATAAATCAATTGGAGGCATAAGAATGGGTAAAGAAGAAATGAAACTATCTCTAATTGCAAAAGATATAATCAATAGGATACCTGCAAAATCATGAGAATCAATGAAAAAACTAACTCTAACAACAGAAGAATTTAGTGAATTAACAGGATTTAAAATTAACATACTAAAAATGATAGGCTAAGTGAAAGAAGCCAGTCATAAAAGACCATATATTATATGATCACAATGCAATAAAATTAGTTAACTAGCAAAACCAAAAAAAAAAAAAAAAAAGCCCCAGTCACAAAAAGACCACATGTACGGTTTCATTTACATGAAATGTCCAGAATAGGCAAATCTATACAGAGAAAAAGTAGATTAGCGGTTTCCTAGGGCTGGGATGGAAGTGACAGTGAGGGGGAACAGAGAGTGGCTGTAATGGATATGGGGTTTCCTTCTGGAGTGATGAAAATGTTCTAAATTGACTGTGGTAATTATTGCACAACTCTGTGAATATACTAAAAGCCACTGAATTGTGTACTTTAAATGAATGAATTGCATGGATTGTGAATTATATCTCAATAAAGCAGTTTAAAAAAAGCAAAGTAGAAGAAGGAATGGGCCCTCAAAAAGGAGGCAGGACTTTCTGGGGTGATAGAAATGTTCTATATTTTGATGTGGTGGTGATGACTAGAGTATATAAATTTCTGAAACCTCATCAAAATGTATGCAAATTAATCCTCAATAAAGTTGATCTTTTAGAAAATCAACAGGCTTCACACACATCAACAATAGCATTTAGAGAACACAATGGAAGAGGAAATCCCATTTACAATAGCAAAGAAGATTAAATACCTAGGAATAAATTTATCAAGAAATATGCAAAACCTACACTAGGTAAATTTTTAAATTTAAAACATTTCTGTAAGACACAAAAGTAGACTGAACAAGTGGAAAGATATCCTCAGTTCTTATAGGGTCTTTGGGTGACACAAACAATTTGCACTTGACTAAAGGTTGGCAGTTCAACTCCATCCAGTGGCCACAGGAAAAAAGGCCTGGCAATCTGCTTCCGTAAAGATTACAGTCAAGAAAACCCTATGGAGCACAGCTCTACTCTGTAACACACAGGGTCGCCATGAGTTGAAGTCGACACAACAGCAACAGGTTTAGGTTTCTTTTTGGTATTCTTAGATAGGATGAATCAACAATTTAAAGATGTCAGTGCCCCTTAAGTTAATTTTTAAATTCAATGATCTCAATAAAAACACCAACAAGCTATTTTATGGTGTCAGATAAATACTAACATTTGGAGCTAAAAGAATTTGCATAGTAACTTTACAGTGGAGAATCCCAGCAGAGACCAACTTAACCAAGTTATTAAGGTCCACATCATCAGTAAGACATATCGAGATCATAAACCCCTTGATGTGATACACTGAGAAGGGCACAACAGTTTTGTGGTATTCTTGCTAAAAGTTCATAATTTCATTCCAATCATGAGAAAACATCAGACAAACCCAATTGAAGTACATTCTACAAAATAACTGATCAGACACTTCAGAAGTTTCAAAGAAAGACTGAGAAACTGTTACAGACTGGAGGAAACAAAGGAAAAATAACAACTAAATACAATGTGGGATCCTGGATAGGATCCAGGAACAGAAAAAGGATACTAGTGAAAAAGTTGGTGAAAATCAAGTAAGATTTATGATTTTGTACCAATGTTAATTTCCTGCTTTTAATAATCATAGTTTGGTTAGGTAAGGTATTAACATTAAAAGCAAGGGGAGGGATATACAGAAACTCCCTGTATTATTTTTTCAACTTTTCTGTAAGTGTAAAATAAGTCAGAATTTAAAATATATTAAAAAAAAGAAAAGAAGAAATGTGAAATTACCAATGCCTTCAATGCCTCACTTCTGCTCAACAGCCCCATTTGAAGTTTGTGACTTGCACACATTTCCTGTATTTGGAATACCCTTCCCCTGAAAAATCCTACTGTTTTTGTTCTTGAAAGACTCAATCCCAAAGTATCTCTCAGGTTGGGTGGTAGTTCAGCTTCCTCCTCACTCTTAAACACCACTTCTGATCAGTACTCTTGCACTTTGTACAAATCCCTGCTCTATGAAGTATTAGCCATCCAGCTCCCCATCCTCTAAAAACCAGTTTTCACTCTTGAGTGGGTTCCTACTCCCGGTGACCTCATGCGTTTCAGAGTAGAACTGTGCTCCATAAGGTTTTTCAATGGCTGATTTTCCAGAAATAGATCACCAGGCCTTTCTTCCAAGGCATCTCTGGGTGGATTCAAACCGCCAACCTTCATTTAGTAGCTGAGCCCTTAACCATTTGCACCACCCAGGGACTCCTTTCCCACCCTCTACTCTTGTTCATTACAATCAACCCCTGAACCCTAGTCACCGGCCCCCAATCATGGAGACTTTAGCGTCTGGCTCACAATCTTCTCCATGCCAAGGCACCCATCATGCGTGGGGGTCGGGGTGGGTGGGTAGGGAGTGTGTTTAAATGGCTCCATCCAGTGACCTCTCCTCTCAGATCTGTGGCATATCTCGAATGACCTTCATTTCCACTATAGCTACCCTTTTCCAGGGCACACACCCTGAAATGAATTCAAGGGCTTATCTTTCCACTCCCAGCACATGCTCTAGAACTTAGACTGACAGACAGCTGAGCCTGGCTGGCAGCCTAACAGGAAGGCTGGCTGACTAGCTGGTGGATTTGTGACCCACTCACTGCCGGGTCAGGTGGATGGCTGGCTGCTTGGCTAGCAGGCCGAGAGGACAGCCATAAGCTGAAATGAGGCCTGTCTGCAGCTGACAAGCTGGCTAACTGGCAGGAAGTCTGGGAGGCTGACAGAGAAGCCAAGTGAGGGCGGGAAGGACGGCCAACAAGGAGGCTCGTTCAAGGCCGAGAAGCTGACTGACACGAAGGCTGGCTCCTGAGGGCAGGCCTAAGACTCCAGACACTAAGCAAGATGGCTAAGAGGACGCCAACAAGAAGGCTGGACTGGCCGTCGGAAAAGCTGACTGACACGACGGCAGTCTGGCTGACAGGAACCCCGCATGAGTGTGGAGGTAGGTCTCAGGCATCGGTCTCCGCCCCCCACCCGCGGGTCTTGTCCCGTCGCGCAACCTGCACGCGCCGCCCGCCTGGGGCCGCTCTGCACCTTCGACGCCCTCAGCTGCGGGGAGGCCGAGGCGGCGGCGGCGGCGGCCGCGGGAGCCCAGGGACGGGCGCCGGGGGGCAGCTCCGGGACTGGGCGTAGCTCCCCTCCGCTCAGGGTCCCCGCTTGCGCCTCCCGTGGCTCCTCCTGGCTGCAGCCGGCCCTGAGCCCAAGGCACCGACGGCCACGCGCCCAGCGGCCGCCCAACTGCAGGACGCCGCCACACTGGTGCGAGCCGAAGCGGGTCACATAGACGAAGCGGGCCAGGTCCAGCTTCTGCTCTCGTTCTGCCGCCATCGCAGCCTTTACTCCCAGCCGGCGTCTGCGTGCCCTCTGGTCCCAGCTGAGCGCGACGGGAACGCGGGTGGGGGAGGGGCCCCAAGCGGCGGGCCATGGGGCGAGGGGAGGGGGGTGCGGGCGGGCATCGGACTGCTGCGCGGGAGGGGGTGAGGAGGTGGGCAAGTGAGGAAGGCCCGGAGGCCAGGTCATTGTGGGGCTGTGTGGAGGGGTGAGCAGGTAGGAGGGGAGTCTGGAGTGGACCACTCTTCAGGGAGGGGATAGGAGGAAAAGGGGGAGCAGGAGGTTGCTCGGCTGAGGGGGGTGGGGGACCACTCTTCAGGAAAGTAGAGTGAGAATCTGGGCACCAGTTCACTTGAGAGGGACCAGATCTTGAGAGGACCCCTCCAAGGAAACGAGCGGAAGGAGAGGGTGGGGAAAGGGCCCAGATCACTAGGGTGCCCCTCCCTGTGCTTGGGTGTGGCACTAGCCCTGGATTTGACCAGCCTAGAGTGTCAGCCGGGTGAAGTTGGGGGCTTGGGGAGATGACAGAACCCTTTGCTGCAGAGGGTTCTGGCTGGAGCTTTATCCTGGCAGATGCTGGTAGTGGGCCATGGCCCTCAAGAGGCACCGGGCAGAGAGAACATGGGCCTGAAGCCACAGTCTTATTCAGGCAGATCTGAGACCAGTCCTGGTTCAGCTGCTGAGGCCACGCCTGACTAGCTGGGTTATTTGGCAAGCCGCTTTCCCCCTCTGAACCTCAGTTTCCTTAGGAAACTCAGGATATTTGGGTTGCTTGGATAAATCAAAATAAGGCATATTAAGTATCTGACACATAGTAAGAGGTAGTTCCCTTAGGCTTGATTTTCATTTAACATTTATTGAGCACATACCCTGTCAGTGGCACATCTTAATTGTTTTACATTTATACTTCACAAATAGCTTTCCCATAGACCATTTCTTTAAATCGATGTGACATTTTACAGCAGAGGAACTGGGGCTCCAGAATGGGAAGCAACTTCCCTCAAGATAATAGCAATGACAGAAACATACTTTTTGTAAAATAAACATTTTTTAATTAAATTATATATGCAGAAAAGTGCACAAATCATCAATGTATAGATGGATGCATTTTCACAGTGAATATACCCATGAGCTATCCACCCAGGTGAAGAGATGATGCTCAGCAGCAGCAACTCATGTCCTCACCTAGTCACAGTCCCTTTCCTATCTTTCTTGATATCAAACAGCATCAGTAAGGTTTGCCTATCGTGTTTGACTTCTTTCACTCAAATTGTCTGTGAGATCCATGCTGCTGCATGAGTTTGTACATCATTTGAATATACCATTTATTCATTCCACTGGAGATGTACATTTGGTTTCCAGTTTGGGGCTATTAATAGCACTGCTGGGATCATTATTATTATGCATACCTTTTGTTGAACATGTTTATAGGGTGTATTCCTTGGTGTGGAATTGCTTAGAGTATACGTATGTTCGGCTTTAGTTGTTGTTAGGTGCTGCCTTAGTTATCTAATGCTGCTATAACAGAAATACCACAAGTGGGTGGCTTTAACAAATTTATTTTCTCACAGTTTAGGAGAGAAATCCAAATTCAGGGTGCCAGCTCTACCAGAAGGCTTTCTGTCTCTGTTGGCTCTGGAGGGAGGTCCTTGACTCTTCTGAGCTTTTGCTCCTGGCCGGTCTTCATGTGGTTTGGCATCTCTCTTCCCCCATCTCTGCTTCTCCTGCTTGCTTGTTTGATCTCTTTTATATCTCAAAAGAAATTGACTTAAAACACACCCTACACTAATCCTGTTTCATTAACATAACAAAGAAAACCCATTCCCCAATGGGATTATAACCACAGGCATAGAAGTTAAGATTTGCAGCACATATTTTTGGAGGACACAATTCAATCCATAACAGGTGCCGTGAAGTTGGTTCCAACTCATAGCGACCCTATGTGCAATAGAACTGTATGCCCAGTCCTGCACCATCCTCACAATCATTGTTGTGTTTGAGCCCATTGTTGCAGCCACTGTCAGTCCATCTCACTGAGGGTCTTCCTTTTTTTCGCTGACCCTCTAGTTTGCCAAGCATGATGTCCTCCAGAGACTGGTCCCTCCTAATAACATATCCAAAGTAAGTAAGACAAAGTCTCGCCATCCTCGCTTCTAAGGAACATTCTGGCTGTACTTCTTCCAAGGCAGATTGTTCGTTCTTCTGGCAGCCCATGGTATATTCAGTATTCTTCACCAACACCTTAATTCAAATGCATCAGTTCTTCTTCAGCCTTCCAGCTTTCACATGTATATGTGGCAACTGAAAATACCATGGCTTGGATCAGGTGCACCTAAGTCCTCAAAATGACATCTTTGCTTTTTAACACTTTAAAGAGGTCTTTTGCAGCAGATATGCCCAATGTAATACATTGTTTGATTTCGTGACTGCTGTTTCCATGGGTGTTGATTGTGGATCCAGGTAAAATGAAATCCTTGACAACTTCAACTTTAGTAGCTACTGACAAACAGGTATCCAAAGTGATTGTACCAGGGCGTGGCCAAGATGGCCGTGTAGTTGGACGCTTCCTATATCCCTCTGACAACAAAGACCTGGAAAAACAAGTGATTTGATTCTATATGAATATCTAGGAGCCCTGAACAAGGCAAAGTTGAGGAATCGGACTGAGTGACGGGGGGAGAGGGAGACGGTTTGGAAGAAGCAAAGAGCATGAGAGCCGTGGCAGTGAAACTGCAGTTCTGCAGCCATGCCTGTCCGCAGTGAAGCAGGCAAACAGCTGTGCTGTGCACGCGCTCGGGAAGCAGTTTCCACATTGAGAGAGACCCGGCAACAGAGATTCTGCTTGGACACTCCGAAACACTGAAAAGCAGCTCCCATGTGGCTAAGATAAGTACATGTGTGCAGCCTTTCACGGGGATTTAAAAAAAAAAAGCCCCTTTGGGAAAAACCTCTCTCCCTTTTACCTCCTCCCTCCGTGTTCTGCACTGGGAGTCTGTTGGGCCGGAAGTAGATCCCAAAAGGTACCCTGACCCATTCTCCTAGCCTTGGAGAGGGAACAAATAAGCTACTGGCTCCCCTAAGCCAGGAACACAGGGTCGGCACAGCTCCTTTGCTAGGTACAGGTATCAGGTCCACAGACTCTGAGTACCTTACACCCCTGTATAGACTTCTGGGGACCCATCTCAACAGCGTTAGACCTCACTACCACAGTACAACAGGGCAAACATCTGAAGTTTAACTTCAACTGTTTCAGCTGTGAAGTGGCAGATTTGTGACCCTCGAAACACCCCTGCCCCTTAAGTAGGCACTTTTATCGATCTGCAACAGGGGCTTGAGGACTGGTGGCATCACCTAAACCTCCTAGTCATCTGCTACAGGAGTCCAAGAAAAAGTGGTGCCCTCAGGTCTTTAGAGCAAACAGAGTGGGGTGCTCATAGTCCCGCTGCACAACTCACCTACCTACTCACCCTAGAGAATAGGAAACGTTTCCTTTCAGACTCAGGGACAGCCGTCAGCCCCCTGCCTGGCTCAGCACGTGATCCCCTACCACAGCCAGAGTTCAGTGCCTGCACGAATCACCCATGCCTCTCTAGGACTGTGGGTGAGAACCTGCATCACACACTTGGTGACTGACTGCCTGGACACCTGAACTGAAACCATATAGGAAAATTTAATGGACTCCTGTGTGGACATACTTAGTTACAGAACTAACTACCTGGTGACAGGACGTTAGAGATTCAAAGGTGTCAATAATCAAACTAGTGCACACAAACAGCCTATTTGGGCATATCAAAACAAAACAAGAAGCTAGGTCTCACTAAACAAATATAAAGTAAAATTATAATAACTTATTGATGGCTCGGAGACAACAGTCAATAGCAAATCACATAAAGAGTCAGTCCATGATGGCTTCAGGAAACTCCCAAAAATAAAGAATCAATAAATTCTCTGGAGGAAGAGAATTTCTTGGAATTACCAGAGGCAGAATACAAAAGATTAATATACAGAACTCTTCTAGAAATTAGGAAATTTGACAATGCAGAAACAGCCAGGGGACATACAGACAAAGTAGTAGCGGAACTTAAAAAAGTTATTCAAGAACATAATGACAAATTTAATAGG